TGTGCATTTTTATGTATGCGTGTGTGCATATATATATATATACGGACAAACATACGTATGTATATATGTACGCATGTTGTAGCTATATCCATAGATATGACTGTTTTTCTATGTATACACAAACACCAGCGAAACACGCAACAGACATAGATCCCATGCAATGGCAGCCATGAGGCCCTTGAGGCCCTTAAGGCCCTGAAACCCTAAACCCTAAACCCTAAACCCTAAACCCTAAACCCTAAACCCTAAACCCTTGACCCTTCAAGCCCCTAAGCCCCATCTGAGGCAAGCCTGCCGGTCGCTGCTCTTAGAAGGCGCTTTGGCCTGGAGAAAGGCCGCAGAGTTTGGGATCTAGAGGTTTAGGGTTTAGGGTTTAGGGTTTAGGGTTTAGGGTTTAGGGTTAGGTGTAGCGTATACTAGCAGACAGCTCTAGGATTCAATTCAAAGGCCAGGTACGAAGTCAAGGTGGAGGTTGCCCAGCAGGGCCGGACATGCCAATGCAGCAAACCATTTTGGGCGCTCGCAATCCAACCATCCAAGTGACACATGAGTCGCGGAGAGGGAATACATGAGTCCCGGATAGGGAATACAGTGTCCACCCCTACACTGCCCCACTGAGGGAAATTAGTTCTTAGGGTAGTCACATGGTCCCTTGACGTGGGCCCTTAATTTGTGACCCTTGCATGATATACCCTGAAATACCCTATTAAACTCAAGGCCCCATACTTCAAACCCTTCAAACAAGGTCAGGGACCTTATATGGCCCAACTACGCAAGTAAGGGAGTCCCTCAACAAAAGTGAAAGTCCGTAAGGCTCCTAGACACAAACCCCAAGTCATGGCCGTCGGGAGCCACTTTTTTGAACTGTTTTCCAAACTTCTGAAATTAGGGTTAGGGTTTAGGGTTTAGGGTTTAGGGTTTTAGGGTTTAGGGTTTTCGGGTTTAGGGTTTAGGGCCGTTGAAATCCTGAGTGGCCCTTTGTATCAGGCCTTTGCCACAGGCCGCTCCGGACGAGCCCTGGGGGCCTTTCATGGAGGCTGCACTCATGGATGAAGGGGTCTAAGGAGGGACCCCTAGAAGGGACCCTGAATCTTATTCCCCTATACAACCCCTGTATCTACCTTATATAGTCCTTTTTTTTCCCTAAGTAGCCCCTAAGATTCATGAGCCCTGTCGAACCTCAAGCTCCGAAACGGTTCTGTTACCACACGCTGGAGCAGAGCACACTTTTCAAATGCATTCAATGCTGAGAAAGGTGCTCTGGCACGTTGACACCCACGTCCTCAAAACCTAAGACTTGGACCCTCAAACTCCTGAGCTCCCATAGCCCCCCAGCGGGAGCCTCCTTTGCCAAAGCTGCCTGGCGCCCCGTGTTGGGGCGCGCCTTTCGCCGCTGAAGAGGTGTGACTACATGCGGTTCAAGTATGCCCTTTCTTTGAGGCTTTCGGACCGCCACTTGGACACGTTCAGTCTTTCTTCTATGAGTTGCCCAACTCAGTGAATTGAACCTTCTTGCTAAGCTCCGACTAGATTTCACTTATGGCAAACCGGAAGTTTTGAGTATGCTTGACCGCCTTCCCCATTTGCAAAGCTCGTAGACTGACCTGAGAATGCTACATACTCACAAAGCCATGATCGAGCGCTGGTGTTCATGCAGATGGGGGCTGTGAGGTCAAGGGTTGGGGAAGACTCGCCAAGGAGCAAAAGAAGAAAAAGAAGCCTGCTGAGAACGCGATACCCACCGAGAACCACCAGATTCATGAGCTTGTGGTTTCGCCTCATCGACGGCCTGGACGACGGCTCCGTCGCCAGACTTCGTCTGCAGCGGCTGTTGTGTGAAGTACTCCCCTATCTAGCCCTCTGTGCATACGCCAGGCCGCGTGAAGAAGTCAAAGATCCCGCGATGCATGAACTTGTGTGTGGGAGCTCCCAGGAAGGTACAGTGTACTATTGAGCTGGCCATGTGGCAGCCATGTGGCAATCTGTGCATCACTAGTCGAGGGTGCACAATGCCCAAGAGCAGCCAGGAGCCCGTACCCGTGCAGGAATTAACATCCATGTTAGGCTGCATCATGACAGATCCTGATGCTGCGTGCACCCATACAAGATTGAAGTATGTCGTTCGTCGCGAAGCCGCCGCCAAGGCTTACGTGCTGATACACTACGACATGCATGGCATGAGCGGTGGAAAAAGTGTGCCATGGTTCATCTCGGCGCAAAACGTGCTTGGCATAAAAGTCTGCACTCGTTCATCTTCTGACACACAATGTTCCAGTGTCCCTCCTGCTGCGCAACTATCTTGGCCCATTTCATCCAGATCCTTGACAGGCGAGACATCACGCGACACTGCTTGCAGAATGCCGCAGGGGTTTGCAACTCAAGACACAGTGGCATCATAATCATCATACAACGGCCTTGGGGTCTGTCAGAGCCTCCTTGAGTCGTGAGGTTCCGGCTTTCAGCTGTGGGGATTCAAGGCTTGGGGCTTGGCATCGTGCTTCTTTCAGCTGTGGGTGTAGGGCTCCGCTCCGGTCAGGTCTAGGATATGTCTCCGGCTGATACTGGCACTTCGTGTTCAGCCGACACTGTACGTCAGAAAAGAAGCTCTACACAACTGGGACTCTTTGTGCCTCGGCCCTGAAACTCCCAGAGTCCCAGAGTCCCAAAACCCCTCAATCCCGAAATCCGAAACCCGAAGCCATCTCTCGCCCTAGCCCCTTGTGAGTTTCCGAGCTCTTTCGCGGTCGCAAGGCGCCAGAGCGGCCTCAGAAACGAGACCCTGGAACTCGGTTACTCTGGGTTGAGGGCTTGAGGGTTTCGACGGTTCATAGGGCAAAAGGAGGGATCAGGGTTTAGGGTTCAAGGGCTACGGGCTGAGGGTTGAGGAGGGCCATGTCTGCAAGTTGAATGGCAACGCCGGAAGAGTCTGCGGTCTATCCAGAACCCTTCCCTCTTAAGGCTTAACTTGATAAGACGCGTCTGGAACCTGTGCTTCGAGCAGCCCAGCTCGAAAGTCATTTGGGGGGGTTTTGGGCGTAGTAGGGGGAAGGGTTTCGAATTTAGGGAGTGTTCTGGGAGCACGGCACCCCGAACCAACCCTAGTTCAGGCCCCCATCTCTTGCGCAGTCTAAAGCTCAGAACCCACACGGGCGGTTCATCCAAAGGCTCGTGCCAGTGGATTTGTGAGCGAGTTTGGTTTGCATGGCAGGCGAGTGCCACGAAGATGGGAAGAGGCGTGCAGCTCCGCGGGAGGATTCAATTCTTGAAAAGGCGCTGTCAAAACAAAAATAGATTCAAAAAAACACGTCAGCATCCACCCTCCTTGCCACAGCTTAGATTGCCACCTCAGCAGCAGCGACGGGATCTGCGCCTGCAGGGTCAAAAATGCCTCGCACTACCCGGCCGTCTGTTCCAAACCTGAGCTTTAGCCGACCTCTTCAAGGGAAGCGTGTGAAGTCGCGACACGCCGCGCGAAGTCGTGCCATAAGCATGGAGTCTCGAAGCGAGTTTCCGAATGTGCACACGCTCCACAGTAGAAATAGAATTTCTGTTGTCACTGTTTTGTCCGAAAACCCCAAAAATCGTTCAGTTTAACGGCTAGTCACCATGTGCACCCACTTTCAGACACGGGACCGTAGCCATCACAACATCGATGATGTAGCAGTCACAGTCACAACATCGTCATGTTATGCCGTGTTGAGTCAGTACGTGAGAGATGACACCATAAGCAAATAGCTACTGCCAATTGAGACCCGGCGCTGTGGAAAGAAGGGCCGTTGACTCGGCGTGCCAGCTTTTGCTCAAGTCTACAGCATCGCGGTCTGCTACAAGTTGTGCCAGGAGAGTTGCTCTACCACGCCTCTCTGGCAGAACTGTCTGAGGACTTCAGCAAAATAAATACGACCGTGAAGATAACATGAACCAACCTCATCGGTCTTCGGATCACGCCCAGATGACAAAATTCATGTGCAACAGAGGTGCTCATGCATGCTTCATCAACTATACCAGCACTGACTGGCCGACTGGACGTGCTGTACAAGACTCTTGGTGAACTTCCCGCACACTGTTGCGGGAAAGCTGTCGCCACTCCTGCTGCAAGTCTGAGCTATCTGGGGACTGTTCAACAACCTAGGGTCCCCCCATGTACAGGCGCCTGTGAAGTTTTTTACAGAATTAGGTTGCCTTACATAAAGGTGCCAATAATGGGCCGAACAACGCACCCATCGCTCCGACGCTACCGTCAGCCTTTGCACCCTTCGGAGGCAACCGTTGCTAGGATGGCCCTTAAAACCCGGTGGAAAAATGTACATAATATATATATATATATATAATGTCGCAAGGGCCTACATAGGTTAGGGTGCGGCCAAACCCTAAACATCCCTAAACCCTAAACATATTTAGGGTACCCGACACAGGACCATGATTTAGAGAACGTTACCCACAGCCCCGGCCCCAACTCCATGTGAGGTGTCCGGTCCTCAGCCGGCCTGCACTCGGTTCTCGCCAGCCTGGTGCAAGTCTTTCTCTGGGGGTTGCTATGTTTGGGAGCCATCCTGGGGAGGGGGGGTGGGGGCCGGAGAAGAGTGACCTGGGCCATGGCCTCACACCGATGTTGGCTTCAGGAACGGCCTGATTCCAAACAACTCCTTAACCACTCCAACCCCAAACGCAAACCTTCAAAGAGGACAGAAACCCGCTCCTTGCTAATCGGCGTTCTTGACCAAACCCCCGAAAAAAAAACCTAAAACTGACCTCTGCCTAGGAACCTGCATTCGATCCTTGATCAGACCAATTGACCACCGCACCCTTGCAATCTTGCAGGCAGGCTGACGGCACTTTTGGGGCTTTGAGCGTGTGCCACATCATCTGTGGCGCCGGGAAGACTGACAATGGGTCAGCCTTGGTACCGGATCGCCTCAGTGAGGGAAAATGACAGTTCAATGATCAGTGAGGCATTGCTCAAACCGGCCGAATCAAGTGTTCTTCGTGTGGTCTGCAGCTCACGCCATTGGGACCTGATTCCAAGGGCTGGGACAAGGCGCTACAGAAGTTTGAGAAAGGTTTAAACAGATTTGCCAAGGGTGCTTATCTGGTGGGTTTGAGAGATGTATACGAAGGTTCTAGGCCAGAACTTTGCCCCGGCACCTGGTAGCCGCTCTGGTAGGTCGCGGGCTGGTAGGTGGCAGGCTGGTAGGCGGCGGCAGGCTGGTAGGCCTGGGCCACCTGGGTTTGCTGCGGCACCTGCTGATAATATTGTGGCACAGGCACCCTCTGCTGAATCTGCTGCATCTGCTGGCCGGCGTAGGCCATCACGTTTTGGATCTGGTTCTGGAACTGCTGCGGGAAGGCCCGTGGTGAAGTGACCTGTGGCTGCGGCACCGCCGGCGCTTCCTCGATCATGGGCGCCGCGTCCACGCTGACAGCACGCTTGGACTTCTTCTTCTTTTTCTTCTCATCTCCGGTCAAGAAATAGGCACCGCCCGCGATAGCAAAGGCCCCAGCGATGGCCCCGAGCACGCCGTAAGTCATGGTGTTGTCGCCACCGCCACCCGAGCTGCCCGGAGCGGAGCCGAGGATCTCGTTGGCTTTCTCGCCCATCTGGTCGGCGGCCTCCTTGGCCTGCACTCCCGCAGACTGCATCGCGTCGTTGGCCGTCTGTGTCAAGTCGCTGCCGGCCTGGTCCAGCGAGGCGCCCAGAGAGGCGCCCAGAGCCGCTGGCGCCGCTCCCAGGTTGGCGGATGCCGTCTTGACCTGCTGGTTCAGCGCGCTGCCGACCTTCATTGCCTGCTGATTGACGTCGCTGTGGATGTTGTCGGCCTCCTGGCTCAGGTCGCTGCTGACCTGATTTGCCTTCTGGGTCAGAGTGTCCCCAACCTGATTGGCCTGTTGGGTCAGATCCTGTTTGAGCTCGTTGGCCTGGCTGTTGAACTCCTTTGCCTTCTGGCTCAGGGCACTGCTGGCCTGATTGGCCTGCTGGGCCACATCGTCCGCAATCTGGTTTGCCTTCTGGCCCACTTCCTGCTGCAACTGGCTGACATGGCTCTGCAACTCCTTTGCCTTCTGGCTCAAATCACTGCTCAGGCCAGCGCTTGCTTGATTGAGTTGTTGTTGCAAATCGAGGCCGTTGCTGTTGAACTCCTTTGCCTTCTGGGTCAGGTCGCTGCTGACCTGATTGGCCTGCTTGGTCAGATCGTTGGCGGCCTGATTTGCCTGCTGGGTGAGATCCTGGCCGACTTGGTCGACCTGGCCCTGGATCTCATTGGCCTTCTGGTTCAGCTCACTGCTGGCTTGATTGACCTTCTGGGTCAGAGCATCCCCAACTTGATTGGCCTGATTGGTCAGATCCTGCCCGAGCTGGTTCAGCGAGCTACCGACCTGGCTGGCCTGCTGATTGACCTGGCCGTTGAGCTCGTCTGCCTTCTGGCTCAGGTCGCTGCCGGCCTGATTGGCCTTCTGGGTCAGAGTGTCCCCAACCTGATTGACCTGCTGGGTCAGATCCTGCCCGAGCTGGTTGGCCTGGCTGTTAAGCTCATTTGCCTTCTGGCTCAGGGCACTGCTGGCCTGATTGGTCTGCTGGGCCACATCGTTCGCAACCTTATTTGCCTGCTGGCCCACTTCCTGCTGGAACTGGTTGACCTGGCTCTGGAACTCCTTTGCCTTCTGGCTCAAATCACTGCTCAGGCCAGCGCTTGCTTGATTGGCCTTCTGGGTCAAATCCTTTCCAAACTGGTCGAGCTGCTGTTGCAAGTCGTTGGCGCCGCTGTTCAACTCCTGTGTCTTCTGGGTCAGGTCACTGTGGGCCTGATTGGCCATCTGGGTCAGATCGTTGACGGCCTGATTTGCCTGCTGGGTGAGATCCTGGCCAGCTTGGTTGACCTGGGTCTGGAACTCATTTGCCTTCTGGTTCAGGTCACTGCTGGCTTGATTCATCTTCTGGGTCAAATCCTTTCCAAACTTGTCCATGTCCTGCCCGGCCTGGTTCAGCTGGTTGGTGATGTGGCTGGTCAACTGGCTGCCAGCCTCGTTTGCCTTCTGGAAAAGATCCTTGCCAAATTGGTTCAGCGTGTTGCCGACATTGCTCGCAGCATTGGTTATCGACGCTGCGTTCACTGGGGTCTCACCCGCACAGGCCTTTGGCCCGCTGTACGACTTCTCATCGACCTTCTCCTGCACATCCTCTCCCAGAAGGTTGCAGGCACCGCCGGGGAAAGAGTCCTCCTTCCACGAGAAATGCTTGCAGGTTGGGTTGATGTAGCAGGCCATCTGGCACATCTTCGGGGTGTAGAGCCAGGCGGCATTGGGGGTGCTCTTGACGTCGCTCACGTAAGTGACGCCCTTCTTGGCGCAAGTCGGCACCCCATCGCTGTTGGGCTCGGCCGCGCCGGCGCGGAGGGCGAGGAGGATGCAAACGCCGCGAAGCATTGCTTGTACTTAGCTAGCAGCTACCAGCTTGGGCAAAGACCACCTCCCTTGCAGCATTCACGCTGTGTTCTGCGAAAAACACCACATGCTGCTCATCATGAATCATCATGACGGTTGCATCCCAGGCCTGAAACTGCTGTGTGGACTGCGGAGGGGACAGTGTCCAGGAGAGCCATAGCCTGGTCTTGGGCAATTGGGCTGAGCCCTGAAATGGCGGGGAATCCTAGGATTGGCTTGGGAGTTGGTCGTGGTGCATTCGGGCTCTAGGGTTCTAGAGGGTTTCAGGCTTCAGGTATCGGTACTGGGTTTCAGGGAATAATTACGGGTTCCGACACCTTGGTTTTCCAAAGCCCCCCCCCCCCCCCAGTTCCCCTCCAAAAGCCCACATGAAACCTTACAGCAAGCCCTGACGCTCTCAAATCAAAAACCCCTGTCCCGAAAAACATCCTGAACTCTAGCCTCCTTGCTCAAACCACGGAGCTTCTCGGACGGAGAGAGGTTCACGATTCGATGCGGCGTCTGTTTGGGAACCAGCCTTGGCAGCTCTCTCTGCACTTCTTAGGGGTGTGTGAAGGGCTCGGGGCTTAGGCTTCTTTTTTTGATCGGCTTCTTGGCACGCCTCACAAACTCTCAGCCCAGCACACAGTGACACCCGGAAGGAAGTCCTGTCAGCGCTACATGGCCCGAGGAAAGAATCAAAAGCTGAAGGCTGCAACATGGATCCTTCACCATGTCACCGCAGTAGATCGTGCCGGTGCCGGCCAGGCATCGCAAAACTTCCTCACTGGTCTCATGGGCGTGCCATGGGACCTCGGTTGGGATGTCATGAGCTAGGGCGCATGCCACATGCCCCATGCGATGCAATAGAATGCAACCTTGCAGCCTCGCTTCCTTCGTCGATCGACTGATCTCCACAGGACATGGCCTGCGTTCCGACAATCAAACAAAGCCCTCTACGGCTGCCCCTGCCACAAAAGACAGTGACCAGAAGAAAAGCCGAACAAAGAAAGCCTGTGAAGCTCCATGAAGCCCCCAAAGTTGCTGAAATAGTGTTGTGAACCAAAACGTCGAAACCCTAAGCTCGAAAAAGCCTAAAACCAATACACATGATAGCACATTGTAACCTCATAGGGTTGACTGACATCAGCTACAAGCCTCGTCCTACGAACCACTCTCTCATACTCATGGCAGCACCTCGCCAATCGAGACCGTGTAGAGCGTCCTCAGGCCAGTGAACTCCTACAACGACGACTAGTATGCATTGATGAACACATTAGTATATAAGCCTGCTTACTTGTTTCTGTATATGTATATGCATACGTAAACTCATGTGCATATGCGCAAAATCCGCCGAGCTCGGGCCATAGGTGTATGGGTAGCACAAAATGCCCTACAGCTTTGTTTGCGACTTTTTTGTCTGGAATTCGTACTCCCCCCCCCCACCCCAGCGACAGGTGTGCAGGAGCGGGACCACCCCCCCCCCCGCCCCGCCCCACCCCCCCGCCGCGACCCCATCCCCCTCCCCAACCGCCCACCCTGTCCACCCGCACCAATGGCCGGGTCGCCAAACCCACCCACTTTCCTCTTCATGTTTTCCTTGATTTTTTGTGGTGTGGGTCCCTTCCAGCTACTTCCTCTTCTTGCTGACACTATGCCGCATGGATTCCGCGTCCTCTCCTTGCCTCCATGGTTTCAGGGCTCAAGCTTCGGGCACTTTCGCCATGTGTACTTGGACGAGCTACGTCCCCGCCCCTAGGCGACAGGTGTGCGCATGAACTGCATGTCCTCTCGACAGTAACAGGCCCCGGCCGAGGCGAGTCGCGTAGCGTTAAAGTTGTACTCGTACCTATATTTGTCGGCTTAGAGAGGTGTATATATATATATATACATATATACATATATATTTCTGTGTATATGCAACCCCTCCCCCCTCTATTGAATCACCTGGATACCCTATCACCCTTCAAATCCCACGTGCTATTGAAAAACATCTTGATGTGCCATCTTTTGCAACCCGAAACTCCTGCTATATCCTTCTGCAACCCGAAATCCGCATCACCTGTTGAAATCCCAAGTATTGGAGTAGCTTTCTGCAGTTGCGTGCTTCTGCAATCCGACATAAGCCCTCCAAGTCCTGAATGCTGTAACTAAGTAAATTAATGCGTCTCCTTCCGAAATCCAACACCCGTCTTGGCCAACCTGAAACCCCCAATCGGCACATTGATGCATGATACCGAACTGTTCCATCACTTTCGGCCGTCGTCGGTTTTTTTGTTTCTCAAATGCAGCCACTTACGCATTCGTGCTGTTCTGTTGTCCACGAGAGTTGTTTTTTGTGAAGTGGTGGTGTCCTTATGAACCGATTGCACCTTCCAATATTCGGACATGTACAGACACACAGCACGTTTTCTCCACCCGACGACGCGCACTCTTTCTCGTGACAAAATCTCAGCTACTGACTATCATGAGATAGACCCGTTAAGCAGTTGCATTCATGTAAGCTCCAGGACCGACTTTGTAGAGATGTACTTCTAAATCATTCCGCTCTAGGGCAGCAAATCAGTTTTGCCAGTGTATGCATTCAAAGTCTCACTCTTTCCTTTCTTGAAGATAACCTTTCGTTCGGTCAAAATTGTTCTGATCAGGGGCTAGCTGCTAGTTGGTTACTGCATTTCGGAGCTGGTTCGATGATCTGTTCGTGAATAGCTGGTCTTTAACTTGTGAAACATCACATTTACTTGGAAAATGTCATTTTTGCTGAGTAAAGTCTATAAGTTCTAGTCGCTTACTACATCAGGATACAATAAAAGTTAACAAACAGCCAGTTGTTCTTTTGGTTCACTGAACAGAACTAGCCCCTGATTGCCATGAAGCAAAGCCAGCGCCTGGTAAATAGCATTAAACTGCATGTACTTTTAAACCGCCATTTGATTAAATTATGGCTTGGTAGGGCCCTAGAAACCGCATTTGGCGTTGAAGCTTTCGGGTTTAGGGTGCAGAGCTAGAAACCTTAAACCCTAAATCCTAAACCCTAGGGGTGGGGTCTTCGTACGGCCGGTGTAGGCTCTTCCAACCTGAGCCCCGAATCCTCAGTTCTCTTCCCCGCCTAGGATGCTCCCCTTCGATGCGCGTGGCCTTGCCTGGCAACTCCCACATGGCTGCATGGGTTCCCAAAGAGCCCAATATCCCTTTATTCAGGAATAGATTGAATAGACCTTAAATCATGCTATGTACCGAAATTAAGGGGGCACTTGAGCTCTTGAGGTTTGACAACAGCAGGTGCTTCGTTTCCGGCATTTTCGGGAGGGCATGGGTTTGGAGAGCATTTTGCATATTCCGCGGCATAGCTGTACAAGTAGCCCTGATGGCCGTTGTAAGATTTGTTCTGGGGTTTAGGCTTACAAGACAAACCCCCAAACCCTCATTCCTGCTTGTCGAAGACAGGATTCGGTCTTGGCGTCGCTACTTCGGTTTCTCAGGGCCAAGGTGAAGGGCTCTAGCAGTGACTCCATGAATCATTACTCCCTAAACCCTAAACCCTAAACCCTAAACCCTAAACCCTAAACCCTGCCGTCGGCGAGGGGACTTAGGTTTCAGGTGCTGGCTCCCACCAAAACACCAACACCCGACCGTCCATGCAGCCTGAAACAAAGACTTCTCGGCTGGCTGTCGAACATGTGCCCAAGACTGCAACCGTAACCCTAAGCAGCAAAGGCCTTGGATAAGGCGATGTTCCACTTCACGCGGCAGCGCGCAGGAAGAAGCAAGGCGCACACTGCCTAGGGCATCTCCAGGAGTGACCGTGCGACTTGCAAGGACAACGACATGTCAAACGCAACCACGCTGGCACTTCTGGGTACTTACCCCAGCGAGGCTTGACATGCCCAACAAGGGATCAGGCATTCCAGCTGACATCCCCAACCATCAAACCTAGCGGCACACACGCCCGGCTGCTGCGCCAAGGGCTCGGTATAGCCAGGCCAGCGCAGCTTGTGGCATCATGCAGGTGGGTGACAGAAACAGCTATTTGTGCACAAGCTGCCCCAAACATGCCCCCGTACACCCCCTACAGCACTTGAGCGGAAAGCCAACAAGCTGAAGGAATGCTCGCAGTTTAGGGTTTTGGGTTCACTGTTTAGAGTTGCGGTTTGGGGTTTGGGGTTTTGGGTTTGCGGTTTGGCATGCTACCACACCCAACAGCTCTATGCAACACTTCGGTCTCTGACGGGTTGCCATGCCAGAAGCACCCTCTAAAACCCCTTTCGAAGGTGAGACACGGACCGCTAGTAACCAGCCAGTGTTGGGTTTGAATCGGAGCTTTCCCTGAACGCTGGCGATAATTTCAGATAACACAACAGAAAATGTGACAAAATGAAATTTTAGTTGAGGATATTGAAAGAAGTAGAAATGCCGTAGTATCTGCTCTTCTCTTTTTCGGTGCTCAACAACCCACTCTGATGAAGTCTCCTGTCACGAATCGAGTTGTGAATCTTCTTAGAACAACAACACGGCAGGCGCCTCCACCAGGCGAAAAGCGGAGTCCAGGGCTGTTGCGATAACCGATATGAACTCCTCGCCTGCACAACTTGTGCTACCGCTGCACTAGAGTCACTGAGTCACGAAAGTCACGAAAGTCGATAGACTTGCCTGCCTACAACATCTCGCCTCATGCAGCTCGAGATTTTCCTAAGCATCTTGAGGAGTCAACTCTTGGGTTGGCCTAGTACATCTGCAGGAACATCTGTACCTGCAAGGACCCCAGGGCTCGGCGCTTGCAGGGGCGTATCTGGCAGGGGAGGGCTCCCGGCTTCCAATTTGAGTTGGGTTGGGGTTTTAGGTTCAGGCCCGGTGCAGGCAAGAGTGGGCTTTTGAAATCTGTAGTCGACCTGATGACGCTTGCACGCAATGATGCAGGGAGTTATGTCGAAGACGTCATGCGAATAGCAAAGAGGATCAAGCAAGAGGTCTGCCCGGGCGGACCATCCCAAAATCCTCCAGACCTACAAAAACAGGTGAAAACCTTCAAAACAAAAAGACATTACAACTGCAACCACAAAAACTAGCGCAGCAGTGCTCCTAAAGGCCTGAATTCTTTCGCACTATTTCGTCCGCTCACAGCGGTTTGCTCTTCAGCGTCTCGCGCCTTGCCTGGCCCAGAAAGGGATGGACGGGTAAGAAATTGTTGACCCGCTGGGACCTAGAAAGTCTAGGGCAGATTCAGAGGCTGACGGCCTCTGAAACCTATACAACTACAAGAATATGTACAAATATGTATATATATATATACGTATATATACATATATATATATCCACACATACACACACACACAATGGCTTTTGGGATGCGTAAGGGTCGCGGAGTCCATCTTCGGAGAGGAGAAAGGAACACGCATGAAGATGCAAGCTTGCAGGTTTACACGTCAAACACTTCACCTAAAGAGACACGACCCTGAATGAAACCACCGATACCTTCCAAGGACCTTCGCGCAACTGAGCCAACCAAGAATTGTAATGCCAATAATGATATGATAATAATAAAAATCATCAGAAGAAGAATAATAATGAAGAATGAGAAGCCCTTCTGCGCGCGGGCTGACAGTCCTTCCCTGCAGGTAGACCAGACCGGCAAGGCATTTCCCAACTACCCCTGTGCCCACGATTGACTGGGCTCTTGCTAAGGAACTTGACCGAAGTTGCCACCATAGTGCAATATTAGAAAAGCCATATGGCAATCTTGGCTCATGACGAGACATCCCTTAAGAAGGGCGTTTGAACCCTGCAGTGTCGCATGTGCAGCAGCTAGCCAGGCCAGTGTACCCGCCCGCCACATGTGTGACGTTGACGCCGCAGCTCGAGCGGCTTCGGGCGTGGCTTTAAATCGGATTTCAGGGATCAGGGCGGGAGCCCAAACCGCAGTCTGCACATCATGAACCTTTAGCCCAGGAACCCTGTCCAACTCAACACATCCGAAGAGGACTTCGTTCCTGGAGTCTGCAATAGCCTGGCGCCAAACTCTGATGTTACATAGTGCGTTTTACTTGCCACTTTGCTGCTCTTTACTTACTACTTACACTAGTGATACTACTTGTGCTACGTACCTTATACTATTATACAGCTGATACTGCTTGGGCACAGCCCCGTGGCCTCCGAAAACATTTCCCCAGAACTTGGCCTCAGCCGCGCTCTTAGGGTTTAGGGTTGAGGGCTTCGGGTTCCAACTTCAGGGGGATCTGGAGGCTTTGGGGGTTGGGGCATGGGGCTGATAAGGGTTCACGACCCACAGTAGGTTGTAGCTTGCATGAACCCAATGGTCTCAGCTCCGAGTCCTCCCTTGATTTATGTTGGGTTTTTGGGGGTTCAGAGCGAAGTGCTTTCGAAACTGTACCAGGAACGTACCATCTGTCACATACCGCCCCCGGAGAGTACGAAGCACCTCACATCTGCCTCAACCAACATCTGAATATACACACAGATGCATACGCATACACACACGTATGTACACACACATATGTACATACATACATACATACATACATACATACATACATACATACATACATACATACATACATACATACATACATACATACATACACACATACATGTATGTACATATACGTATATACCTTCTTGCGTTTTACACAATGTACATATATATATATATACATATGTGATGTACCTATATCTATACATAAAAGTGAATATATATGTATATATGTATGTATATTTACATATATCTATCTATCTATATATATATATACACGTATAAAGCGTTTTTACAGATGCACATATGCGTATATCATCTCAACATCAACTCTGCAAAAAATGCATATGTACGTATGAACATATGTACATGTGTGCATGGGTGCCTGTGTACACATGTAGCATGCACATATATATATATATGTAAATATGCATGTATGTATGTATATATACATTTAATATGCAAGTATATACACATGTCTATGTGTATGTATATATATATGCATATATATATATATAGATAGATAGATAGATATAGATATAGATATAGGTATAGATATAGATATATATATATACATATGTGAGTGTGTGTTTGTATATGCATACATGCCAAGCTAAACAAACCAGAGCCGTCTGAATAGTATATGCATGCGTAGCCATGAACGACCCTCACTTCCTCCAGCCCCAGGTTCGACAAACCCTGATCCCTAAACGCCCTCCAAGTTCGGGCCGAAGTGGCCGCTTCGCTGCGCAGCAGCTCCCTGAAAAATCGCCGGCCGCCGCGGCTGCGCAGGCTATCAGCGACCTGGGCTTTACGTTTGAGTTCGGGGATGGGGGTTTAAAAGTTTAGAGTGTAGTGTAGAGTTTGGAGCTTGGGGCAGGGACCGGGGGGGTGGATGTTTCTGTATTCGGCTGATTTGGGATTGCAAGGTCTGAAGGGTTCAGGGTCGGACTGCAGGGAAAGCATCCCTTGCTTCTCGCCTGGGCAGAGAATCGCAGCCTTGCGGGAAAACTAGGCAAGGACATGCCGGGATAGGATATTTGGAGCGTAGGAAGCTGGCTCCACCTAAGCCCGAAGCCCTCAGCTTCCCTCTTCAACTCAACCAAAACCCTGAAGCCTACTGGCTGCCAAGCCCTTCAGTTCAACAGGAGCCTGGAGAAACACAGCTGCTTAAAAACCAAGCCGGGCATCCTGAGGCCAGCGGCCTAAGGTACCGTAGGGTTGAAAAGGCTACGGTTGAAGGGTTTAGGGTTTAGGGTTTAGAGTTTAGGGTTTAGGGTTTAGGGAGGTTTCGGGTTTGAGCGCCCTCACCGGGCAAGTTTCGGCTGTAGGCTTTGGTCTAGGCCTTGGCCGGGCACTTTAACACCCCCAAAAAGCCCAAGGCCGTAATATAGGGGCCTGTACAATTGGACTAGGGTTTTGGGGTTAGTATGGTATAACCATAAGGGAAGAATACTTGTATTCATTTTGACCCCAAAATTAAGCCATAAGCCGTGTTGAGGGTTGGGGTTTTCATGCATGCCTGTCCCACCACTCCACCTGAGCTTTCTGCCACTGTCCGCCGGCGGTTTCCTGTCATCACGGCCTTCGGGCAGGATTCCCTTGAGGTTTACCTTGCTTTCCATTCTCTTGCTTCAGTAGGCTCGTCAGATGCTGGTGAGTTTGTTCAATCCGCGCACCTGGCTCCTTGAGTAGGACAGAACCCATCAACGTCGCTCGGCTCAGCAGGTACCACGACAGGGGTGCCGATTTGTCTTGAGCGTATGGAATGATACATCAAGTTGATGCTCCGAAGCCACGAGCTGTGAAAGAAATGTAAAGAAACAGACCAGCACCCTCACCCCTCTGGAAATTCACAAGGTTCACAGGATGAGGGCGCCCCGACTTCCGAATTCCGAATTCCCGAACCAATGCATCAGCCCGCATGCGGCCGAGCTGCCGCGGAGTCCACCAGCCTGAGACGCGCTTTCTTTCTCGAGACCCCAAACGGAAGACATCGAAATGTGCCTGGGACTGTAGAGAACAGAACAAGAGCAAGAAGAGCTTTAGGATTTGGAGCTTCGGAACCCTAAGCATGATTTCTAAGGAGGGCAGTGGAAGATTCCGAGGTTTAAGAACCCTAAACCCTAAACCCTAAACCCTGAATCCTAAACCCTAAACCCTAAACCCTAAACCCTAAACCCTAAACCCTAAACCCTAAACCCTAAACCAAGGGGCGCAGTAGCGCGGCCGAGCGAGAGCCGTCCGTCTCTGTCACTGCAGAGGTTGCACCTCAGCGCGAGGCTTGGGGTTTACTGGGGTAGGTTTGAGTTTATGGCTTTATAAGGACTCTATACTTGAAGGTTCGTGGTACTTACTAACCAATTATAACTGGGCTTATACTTCAAGTAGGGGATTAACGGTAGTAAAAATCAAAATGATGTTCAAACCTGCCCCCGTATAGGGCATTTGGGATTTCGGAGGTGTGCAGCTTGAAGGCTATAGGGCGTTTTCGGCCCGAGGAGTGTACATTGCAGATCAGAGCTCGTGAGCTACCCTGCTATGTAGGGTTTAGGGGTTCGGTTCTAACCCCTAAACCTGAACTGCTTTTCAACCCCTAAACTCCTGAACCATGGACCCCTAATTGTTGAACCGAAGCCAGGGGGGGCATCAACCACCCACCGGGGACGCAGCAGCGTCTGGCGCAAGACCGGGGAATCGGACGGGTTCGACCTCACAGGGCGGCTGAGGGTTTAGGGTCTAGGGCCTAGGGTCTAGGGTTTAGGGTTTAACGTTTAGGGTTTAGGGAGTTTAGGGTTTAGGGTTTAGGGTTTAGGGTTTAGGGTTTAGGGTTTAGGGTTTAGGGTTTAGGGTTTAGGGTTTAGGGTTTAGGGTTTAGGGTTTAGGGTTTAGGGTTTAGGCAGCTTAAGGCTAAAAGGTCCGGGGAACTGAAGCACAGCCGTGTTTGGCTAATGATGCTGGCTCCGGAAGCAGCTCGCCAAGAAGATACCGTTGCGGATCGTGACCCGTCGTCGACTTGTTCGTGGACAGCGGACGTCGCAACAAAACCAATCTTCCAGCAGCGACTCAAAGTTTGGCGACGCTAAACAGGAAACGTCAGCAATCCGGCGCGCCAGAATGCTGAATCTTCTCATGACGTGGTAGGCACGAGTTCTCTCACATCACCTCAACTAGCCAGGTAAGAGGCGAGAACCCTCAACCTTAAAACCTAAACCCTCAACCCTAAACCCTAAACCCGCAACCCTAATCACAGTCTCCAAGTGAGCTCTTGATTGACCGCCGGCTGGCAGGAGCGTGTTCAGCGCGAAGGGGTACACCTCTCAGTCAGGGCCCGAGAACGACATTCTCAGAGTGGACATGATAATGTACTAAATTAATACTATGATGTCGTAATATAATAATATAAGAACATATGATATTTAAAAGCTTAACTTCATAATACTACTGTAGTATAACACTATAGTAATTAATAATATAATGTTAAGATGAAATAATGCAAGAATACTAAAATACCTAAAAGCAAAACAAAGCAAATTTATAATATAAAAATTCAGAAAAATAGAATTAATATAATATTCAGTATGGTTCTACTTTTCGTACTATTATGCTGGCAGTAGACCATTACCATATTCGATGATCTGTATAAGTAACATAATCTTGTAAAAATATGAGAATGTAATAATATAATAACATAATAATGTAATGATGTCATCATCATATATACATATATATATATATACATATACATATATATATATATATACTATAATACTTGAACGCAAACATTTAACAATACACCACAATGTCATATATTAATTTGCTAATATGAATATACATACATACATACATACATATATGTATATATATCGAACACTTGTTAGTACAAGAATACAATACTGAAATAAAGCAATAATAATACCATATATTAGAGTAGCATATAATCCAATATAGTAAAATGTAATATACTAGTATATCATATGATGGTATAGTGATACACTTATGAAATAAGCTAACCACTTAGACATAACATAATATAAAAAAGTAATAACATGATAACAAAATAACATAATATACAAATATAGTTTCTGAATATCATAACATCATATATATATATACTAATATAGTTCTGCAATAATATACTAACATACTAATCTAGTAGTAATACAACAATAGAATACCTCTGTAGACATGAGATATGTGGCTGACAGTACAGTCTACATGTCTGTGTATGTTTACGTGCGTGGAAATACTGTCTAAGCTAGAGTGGCAGCTGCACGTCCTGGTCGAGACAGCTGCGCTTACTCAAACGCTTGCATTTAAACAATTAGACTCTATGAGAATGGCAAAGAAACCAAATGGTGAAATCGAGAAGTGTGACGATAAAAGTGCGCACATGGCATGGGCATCGACCCTCGGAAAGTACAGGGCAGTGGTCTTCAAGGGCGCGCCTTCTCCAAAATGTTGAAATTCGGGTCGACAGTTCGCGCCATTCCTGGTCAGGGCATCCTCTTTGTCTTCTCATGTTTAGGTTTAGGGTTTGGGGGACAAGTCATCTCAAGCAAAGGCTTCACATGGCAAAAGCCACGACATGACTTGCAGTAGACATGGTTGTCCTGATGCCATACAGGGGAGGTTTCCGAAATTAGGGGCACCTTCTTGGGATCCTTGTGATAAGGGAATCCTACTATTTGAGGGTAGAGATTGGGGTCCCTTATTTCGTAAACCCCACATCAATACACAGAGCGCGTTTTGAGACTTCAGCCTATGTGAAGAAGATGGATGTCTGCAGGACGAGCGTTCAAGACGCATACTTCCGAAGCCCAGCTGGCAATCCAACAGAAAGGCATCACCTTATGACCCATGAGCCGTTGACTCGTGTTTCCAGCAAAACAGAAAGTTCAGAGTTGACACCACCGAAGTAAACCGTAAGCCGAAGGTTTAGGGTTTAGGGTTTAGGGTTCAGGGTTCAGGGTTCAGGGTTCAGGGTTCAGGGTTCCCTAAACCCTAGGCCCTAAGCAAAACCAGCTTCACCACGTGAAACAGATTCTCGCGTAAACGTGGGGCGAGGCACTCAGAAATGCTCGGACTCTGAGTGGCAATTTCAGCTCTGTTCAAAACTTGTAGAAACTCTTCTGCAAAGCCTTACGTCAGGGAAGCTTTTGGGCTTGTTGGACTTGGGGCCCGTCATGTCTGATCGGAATCTGGCTGCGAATCCGGCCGTTAGCTTTTTCTCTGAATCGGCCTTCCAAACAGCCCAGCGCGCGTGCGTTGTTCAGGAAGTAGGGCGGCAGCTGGAATTCATACCTGCTGAGGAAGGGGTGTTCTTGAAAAGGAAGGCCGACGTCGTGCCATTGTGCAGCAAGGTCCGAAAAAACAACCCAAGAAGTAGCACAGAAGCATCTAAAAAATAGCCATCCCATGCACTCGCTTCTGCAAGGGAACTGCATGACCCTAGCCTTGGGGCAAGCAGCACTAGCCTCGGCCGACATATTGCAGGCCAACGCTTAGGGCTACTTGAGCGGCTCTGGATTCAGGCTTCGTCTTCTGAGAGGGTTGAGGGGTCGATTTGGGAGCCATCTTGGGGTCGATTTGTGGGATCGATGCAGTTCGGCCCTATGAATGGTGATGCTCCGATGGTGATTCGTACATCCCGAGGCAGGTGGAGAGCCATGCACACCTTTTGACCAGCTGCCAGCCGTCCGTGCAAACATCCTGCAAACTCGCGTAGGGATTTGGTATTACCGGGCATGTTCTGCCCTGTCTTCAAACCGAGTCTGTCCACATATGTCATCGACACATGCACGATGACTTCTGCAACAGCAGTCGAGGTTGCAAATTCAAAGGACCCGCTACAGACTGCCTAAGGTGACACTTCTGTGTAGGGCGATGTCTCACTGAGAAGCGGCTCAGAGCCAGAACCGTTTGGCATGCATCGGCTGCTGAAAGCAGCTCGGCTGCAAGCATGCCATCTGCCTCCGAATCTCTTCAATGAATGCAGGATCAACTCGCTTGCACTTCTTGGCGAACGCCAGCAACTGCCACCAACTCATCCGTGTCATCAGCTTCATCAAGTTTCGCTTTTTGACCGGCTTGAGATTCTCGTCGTGGGCGGATGCTGACACCGCTTGATGGAGATCCTGCAGGTAGAGCAAACGGCGATTCGGAGAGCTCAGGGAAGTTGAGTATTGAAAGGATCTGTAACGTTTTAAGGTTGGCAGCAGGCTGGGTGCAGGACTTGAACAACCAACCTTGGGCAGGGCCGGGAATGCAGGGCTTTAAGGGACTGTAGTCGATTCTTCGTGGGGAGGAGGGCGGAGGGGTGGAGAGGAAGGGGGTGAAGGGGGAGGAGGTGGCGGGGAGTTTTTTGAAGTCTCTATTCCATCGCACTCTGTACAGTTCGAAGGGCATCGACCATCGAGCGATTCGGGCAGGGCTTGAGTTGAAGGAAATCTTTGGCCTTTGGGCGGAAGCTTCAGGGTTTAGGGTGTAAAGCTTACGGTTTCAAGTTGGGGGGGGAGGGAGGGGGGGGGCCTTGCCTGCAGGATTCCGAAGGACTCGTAGACGAGACCAGCACGATGTGCACGTCGCGACAGCTGTACAAGAAGCATCTCAAGGAGCTCCCGCTTGGAGAGGCCCTCCACGACTTCTCTCTGTCGCTTGTCTGCTGCGACAGCTCGGCTGTGGCAGTCGGAGCATCGTCCACCGAAATGGCAACAGAGCTCAACGCTCTCAGACGAATTTCCGAAGGCCGGCCTCACCGTACAAGATGAGAGGCGGTTTAGAAGTTTGAGGGCTCAGAGGATCTTTGGGCTTCAGGGTCTCCCGCTCTTGCGAGTGATTGTTATCATGACACGAGAAACCAAACCATCCAATTCAGTCGAGCGGCATTGCGAACTCCAAACTCGTCTTGTTCTCGTTGCTCGGCAGCGCATTTGCCATCACTGTTGGCCTTGCTCTGAGGGTTTAGGGTTTAGGGTTGAGGGTTTAGGGTTTAGGGTTTAGGGTTTAGGGTTTCGGGTTCAGGGTGAGCTCAGGAATGTCACTCCGTTGCAGACCACTGTGTGGGGCTCAAAGAGCAATCAATCCCCTTGCCCCTGAAAAGCCAAACACAGACTTAACATTGTTGCCCGAACGGAGTATTCGAGTATACCTCCAAGTCCATACGGAGTTGCCTTTTTTTATAAACCCTTTTAGGAGATCACACTTAGGGTTGTTTTGACGTTAATAAACCCTTAACCAACCCTAAATTAGGGATTTTTAACGTTCAAAAACCCTAAGTGCACCAGCCGAGAGACCGGTCTGGAAGCACTCGCGACAGAAGCCCCCAGAGCGACTTGAGAAATTGATGGCTGCACAGGCTTAGGCGTTCAGGAGCCCTAAGCCCTAAACCCGAAAAGATCCCCAAACCCTAAACCCTAAACCCTAAACCCTAAACCCTAAACCCTAAACCCTAAACCCTAAACCCTAAACGATCCCTAAAAGCCCAAACCCCTTAGCCCTAAAGATCGAAGCCCCGGGTCTGGGTTTAATGTTTAAGGTCTCAGGGCCTTACGATTGCTTAGCGTAGATGCGATTTTGTTATGAAGTGTTGTTGGGTGACGACCACCACCTATTGGGATGTTCTCCCTTATGCGAAGAGTCCTTTATAGGGATTCTCATAAGGGGGGGGGGGGGGGGGGTAATATCATCCCTACTGGTATGAAGGGCTTTTAGTATTAAGGCGGAACGTCCCGAGCCACCCGAGAAAGGAGGCCCTGCGACCCTAAACCCTAAACCCTAAACCCTAAACCCTAAACCCTAAACCCTAAACCCTAAACCCTAAACCCGAACTCTCCCGATTCGCATTCCGGGGCTCCGGCTGCTCCAGGAGAGCCGCGAAGCGAAGTGAAGGCACCTCTGGCACCACTAGAGGCGAAAAAACGACGAACATGTGTGAACAAAAATGTATATACATATATATTTTCTATATATATATATATATATATATTCATGTGTATCTATATATATGTGTGTATATCTATTTATTTATGTATGAAACACATATATGTATGTGTATATCTATATATATATATATCATGTCTCATTTACGTATGTACAGTGACAGCACCGATTCAGAAATCATTGGTCTAAGAAACGAGCATGCTCGCGGGTGGACCCTCGGAACACGATGCGAAAATTGAGAGCAAATCGAGGGTACCCTCATCCTGGGGCCCTAAATTTCATATTTTGTTGTTTTTTGCAACCACCCCTCAGTTTCTGGAATGGACACAACTTAAGAAATCCAGCCCCTGTATTTCTCATGTTTCCCCCCCTTGAAGGAAAAAAACCCCTCCTCCCGGCCCTTAAATAAGAAATCCAGCTCCTCGATTTCTTAAATTGGTCTAATCGGTAAGGCGTCGCCTTATGAATTCAAACATTACCAGTTCACATCACATTTAGAAATAGATTAAGCAATCAAGGGTACCCTCAAAATTGTGGAGGTTATGGTTCCGGAAATTGGGTGGACTTCATAATTTAAAAATCCAGGGAACCCTTGCCAAAACTTAGAGGTTTCTTATCCAGCACTGTTACCGTACTTCTACTTATGTTTATATTTGTTTGCATTATTTATAATCATCTTTGTATTTATATTTTTTGTTTCATGTATTACATGTACAATACTATGTATGTACATACATATATATATATAACATTACTAGAGAACAAATAATTATTCTTATTATTACGATTATACTCTTGTTATTATTGTTCTTGTTGCAATTGCTGTTGCTGTTGCTGTTGCTGTTGGTGTTGTTGTTGTTGTTGTTGCTGTTGCTGTTGCTGTTGCTGTTGCTGTTGCTGTTGCTGTTGCTGTTGCTGTTGCTGTTGCTGTTGCTGTTGCTGTTGCTGTTGCTGTTGTTGGTGGTGGTGGTGTTGTTGTTGGTATTATTGTTATTACTATTGTTATTGTTATTCTTATTGTTATTGTTATTGCTATTGTTATTGTTATTGGTATCGGTATTATTATTACAAGCAACACATATTTACGTGTCTATATTGATGGCGCGGGACTTGCAAGATCACCCACGGGAGCCTCCCAAAACACGTGCCTCCGATAGGAGACCAGTGCTGCGCATCAGCCGCTCACTAGGCACCTTGAACCGTAAACAGAGGGACCCTAAACCCTAAACCCTCTAAACCCTAAACCCACAGATAGGGTCTGGCCTCTGCCTGGGAGCCCTTTGTCTCCGGCGGGAAAACCAAAGCTTCCTTGCAAGGCCGCAAAAGGGTTTTAGGGTTTAGGGTTCAAGGTTTACGGTTTTAGGGTTCAGGGTCTGTTTGTGGGAACTTTCTCGGGGGTCAGGTTTGGGGCTTCCGGGAGAACACCCACTTCGGGGGGTGCAGAGCCAGAGAAGTTTTGGTGGCGCGTCCTTGGGACCCTTGAGCCCTACACCTACACCCCCATGTCTTTCTCCAGACTGCAGCTTCATCCCAGTGACTGTTGTCGGCTTTCGATGTGGAGCGGCCTTTGCGGCGAGCTCGATGTCCCGCGTGAAGCTGGCCAAGGTTGCTGCCTTGGCAATTGGCGAGGGCTTGGAAAGGACTGTGTTCCACACAGTGCGCCTTGAAGGCTTCGCGGCTTAGCGTTCGGGCCCTTCACTGCAAGCCGCCAAGCACACTCAAAGGGGATTCTCGGCCCGACCAGCTCGCCGCAACTTCGAATGGGTTTGGGCCTGCTTGGCGCTTCTGGGTACTTCCGGGGGTCTCCTTGCGATCTAAGGGCTTTAAGGTCTTCAGAGTTTACGGTTGGGATGTTCCGCCTTATACTAGCAGGCCTTAGGAAGGAATCTAAGAGGGAGGTACTATAATCCCTACTAAGGACTGTTAGTATAAGGGGGAACATCCCAAGTTTACGGCTTTAAGCGCTATTTCGGGGCTTCGGGTTCCATAAACAGCCCGCAAGCCTTCCAAACTCACGACTCTCGGCCCCAGGCGTCGGCGATCACCCAGTCGGGAAGGAGCATCAGGGCATTGAAGAGGCTTGCGACATCGGCCCAGCGACGCCTCGGGGAGTTTCGGATGCCCAAAGAAGGCCGCAAGTCTAAACTAGGGCATCCCGGCATCCCTGTCTGCGTTCTACGGCCTTCATCTTGTGTGACTATTGTAGTCACTGAACCGCCGCAAAGCACAGAACCTCTGTTCTCTCTGTCTCCGTGTCTCTCGCTCTCTGTCTCTCTCTCTCTCCCCCTCTCCCTCTCTCCCCTCCCGTGTGTTCTCAGCTTAACCCCGAAATTTCATTATTTGCCTTAATCAGCTGCTCCTGGCTACAAGCAGAGGCTGCTAAAGTTGGCAACGTTCACGCCGTGTGCACTCGCCGTATTCTCTAAGCCACCAGCTCTACCATGTACATGACGGCACAGACCAATCCTTCTCGCACCTGAAAAAGGTCACATTCAGAAGAAATGCACTGGGGTGGCATAACCTCACAAGAAACCACAACCACAGTGGCCTGCAGAGGAACATCGGCCACGAGTCCGAAGTCTAAGTAGACCTAGCGATTGCGGAGGCTCAGCAGAATTGTGGCCTTCCACTCCCGGAGCCCCCACGCCTGTGCCATGTGGAGCCGCTAACTCTCGAAAGTCCAACCAACACCACATCGAATCATTGAACCTTGCTCGCAGCATGGAGATCAGGGAGCAATTCAGTCAAGCGCCCGGCGAGTTGCCGCGGGAGCGGGCTTGCCCTGGACAGTAGCGTGGGGGGGTCGAGGGCTGCAGATATCTGGATGGTTTATGGTTTATAGGGTTTAGGGCCTAAAGGGTCCGGTTTAGCGTTGTTCTGGGTTCTAAAAACTTGGGAGAAAAGTGAAAAACTCAAGACACAGGGGTTTCGTGATGCTGGGGGCTGACCGGGCTCAGGGCTCAGGGTTTCGAAGCGAGCTGTTGACCTGCTCAGCGTTCATCACCTTTCCACGCATTACAGCTCGAATGCCGAGGGTAAACATGCCTCATATGCAACTGTTCAAAAAAAGCAATAGTACTACTACCGAGAATCATAATAAGAAGAAGGTTAACAAGAAGAAGAAGAAGAAAACCAAGAATAAGAAGAATAAGAAGAAGAACAATAACAACAATAGTAACAATGAAATGATAACAACAATAACAATAAAAATAGTCATAATAGCAATAACAACAATAGCAGCAACAATCATAACAACAATAATAACAATCAGGATGATCAACATGATCACACTGCCTTGCTTGCCAGGCGTCGCCTCTCGAGACGCCGCAGGGGTTTTCAAAGGTCTTGCTTCGCAACGATGATTTTCTTACAAGTCTGAAACCGAAGAGTAAAGGTTTAGGGTTTAGGGTTTAGGGATTAGGGTTTAGGGTTTAGGGTTTAGGGTTTAGGGTTTAGGATTTAGGGCAACCTAGGAGAAAAAAAGGTGCCCTTCCGGATTACACCCTATGGCATACAAAAAGAATGACAAGAACCGGCTCCAGACGATTTAGACATTGAAGTGCTGAGCTGCAGTTCTTCAGGGCTTTAAGGTTGCCCCTCTTCCAACAGAGCTGGTAAAGGGATATGGCCTGCTGCTAGGCTGGTATCTTGAGTCATGGGTATGGCCCAGTATTCTGGTTGGTGTCGTTGTCGTTTACTAGGTTTAGGGTTCAGGGTTGTGTTGGGACAATAGGATCAGCGAGGCCTCCACCCCTAGCTAGCCTTCGCCGCCCCTCCCCCTCCCCCCCCCAAACTGTGTGCGAGTAAAATCAACGCCTGCCCGACCAAGCAGTTTTGGCAGCCCCGAGGACGGGTCCCTGTCGAGCTGCTGGGGCTTAGGGTTGTTGAGGAACTTGGGGAGACCCTGGAGAGACCCTGGAAAGACCCTGGATGAACCCTGACAAGACCATGGGAAACCCTGGGACCTGGGGAGACCCTGGCAAAACCCGGCAAAGACCCTGGGGAGACCCTGGGGAGATTCTGGGGAGACTCGGTTTTTTTCGATGTTGCGGATATCGGGGTTTAGGGTTTCAGGGCATCGTTGGAGGTCTACAAAAGACACGCGCAGACACCAGCACGAAGGTCGCCGAGTTTACATGGGGCTCCGGGCCCACGAATTAACGGACCCTCCTCCAACTCCAACCCTACAAAAGTGGCAGAGGCCGTGAAGCATGACAGGTCAAGCGACTCTCATTTAGCTGCAGGGTTTAGGGTTTAGGGGTTTGGTTTAGGGTTTGGGTTTAGGGTCTACGGTTTAGGGGGTTTTAGGCCCAAAAGAACCACAACTACCAAGCGACCCACCTTCTTCCGTCAAACCCCCAATGCAAAGCCGCGACGGCTCAAAGCCCGTGGCCGCCCGCACCCCCAAGACACGAAATATAGGGGCCTTAAGTACTAGAATAGGTTTTTTTTTTTTTTTTTTGGGGGGGGGGGGGGGTGGTATTTTAGTATAATTGTGTAGGGACCAGAAGGGAATATTCTCAAAGGAATTATTCCGAAGCTATAGTAAGCCATTCGCCTTCAGGAGGTTGCCCCCATGCGGATCCGTGTGCATCACGCCGGTGCCGAGGAGCTGCCTCTGAGACTTTTGGCTTTGTAGGCTTAGGGATGAGGGCTTTGGGTTGGGGGCCAGGGCTTTGGGTTTGGGATGTAGGGTGTAGTAGTAAAATGGGAGTTCCCAAACTTAGAGTACCCGATTTTTTGGGGGGCAGGGGGTCCTTAGAAGAGGAATTGTACGATGAGGTGAGGCCTCAACTGTAAGCGGGGTTGATTTGGGTAACTCATCTGCAGCAAACCCTAAATCTGTGAATCTGCAGCGAAACCTAGATCTGTAAACACTACAAACGTTATAAATTCTACAAACCCCAAAACCCTGTACACTCAACCCTCAAGTATTTCACACTCGGGCGTTGTAGGCCCCTCTCATACCTACATGAATGCTGCGGAGGTGGTTCCCCACTTGGGACCTGCAGGAAGCCCGTGAGGGCAAGCCGAGAATGAGGCATAAACCCTACCCAGCCCAGGACCCCGAAACCCGAAACTGCGCGAAACCCGAAACCCTAAACCCCAAACCCTGGCCCCAGAATGAAGCAAACAAGCAAAGGCCTACCCCAAACTCTGGCCCAGCATGAAGTAAACAAACAAGCTGGCCCAATCCCGTAAGGAGCCGACAGCAGGGTGGCTGTGATGCCCAGCTCTACTAAAGGCAGGTCCTGCGCAAGGCTCCCAAACCCTAAGACACTAAGCCTCGGGGGCACTTTGCATCTGCCTAACCCCTAGCCCCTAACCCCGCACTACAAGCAAGACGCATGTTTCTGGGGCACCCCGAGAATGCAGCCCAACGTAAAACAGAGCCGAGGAATCAGAGCTGGGTGCAGGCCTTTGGGGCTTTAGACCTGGGAGTTTATAGGCGAGCCGAAGCCTACAAGAGGGGAAAAAGGCCAAAAGATGGAGGCTGTAGGGCTTGTTGCATGATAGCTGCTTGACGGTTCATGGTACTTATGAGCCACTTAGAACCCACTTAGAAGCCGCTTAAGTGCCCTAACATAGGAGGCAGGGCGTGGTCTCTTGGGTTTTTCGACATCCAGTGCATCTGAGGGCCCCAAGGAGTGGCGCAAGTGCTACCCGGGGGATTGCCATATGGAACGCATCAACTTTGTGGGGTCCATAGGCTTAGGGCTTAGGGGCTTAGGGCTTTAGGGTTTAGGGTTTGGGGTTCAGGGTTCAGGGTTTAGGGTTTAGCGCCTTACCTTCCGAAACTCCCGTCAGCTACACAAACGTGGGGGGTGTGGATACACTGCGCTCTGCCAGGCCCACATCATCCCTCTACGCTCTCAGACAAGCATGGTTATGCACAGCCCTCAAGCTTCAACGTCCCGAGGAGACTGGACGCCCGTATGTTAGGTTCCCGAAAGTTCTTTTGCGCGTGCCGATGGCAAAGCCAGGCTGTGCATATATACATATATATTATTTATTTATTTATTTGTTTATTTATTTATTTGTTTTTTATTTATATAATATATATATATATATATTATATATATATAGTACCCAACAACTTCGAGAGCTGCCCAGGAATAGTTCTCACCATCAACCCTCCGACCTCGCTAGAGGTGCTCTCCGCAACGAGTCGCTCCCCATCCACCCACCTCGGTAACTTTCAAAACGGCGGCCCCTCGATAGAAGCGAAGGGGTTGCTCTGATCGAGAGGGTTTAGGGTTTAGGGTTCTGGGGGAGAGGACAACATCGAGCAACTATCTTAATACGGACCCGTGTATTCAGCGTACTCAACAGGGATCATAACTTAAGGATCAATCCACGTGGCGATTTTGAGCAGGATGACACTGAGGAATGTTTCATAGTATTCTAGACCCAAGAGTACCCTAAGAACAAAAGGGTGCCCCTTCTTGGTTTAACGAGGCTTACAAGGGAACCTAAACCCAAAAAAATTGAATAATGGCCTACTCTGGTCCTAGTATTTGGAGTAGACTCTGACAAGGCTCGTGCGGGGGCTCCAGATCGATAACTGTTCGGTTCCGAATCATGCTTAGAAGTCCAAGCACAGTCACCATCTGTTCAAGGCTGGCTGAGGGGAAACATCCTTCATCCACGCAAGAACCGACGTGTAACGTTGTGGCCGAAGATACCTCGGAGCATTGCAATGAGAACTATCTTCAGGCCTTCTGGAATGGGCTTAAGGAGTTTTACGGTTCGCACACTGGCTAAGCCGGATCCCTGAATCCTAAAACCCTAAACCCAAGAAAGCACCCAGACTGCTTCAAGACTCCTCAACACCACTCACGCAAGCCCCTGGAAGAAAGCACACAAACCATGCCTCTCTTCCCTCCCCCCCAGAGACGCCAATACCCCTTACCTAAGCAATCGACCTTTAGGGATCCTGAACGGGGTTTTTAGCCCTTCCTACAATTCAGTCAGCCGGCTCCATCACCAGAAGGCGACCTCAGCAGTGTGGGATATGGGAGTGGGGTCAAATTTCGCTGAGTCTGGGGGCGGGCTCACATGCTTTTTGGGGTTTCAGTTTGAGGGATAAGGCTTTTTTGTCTGGAACTGGGAACAGTGGGAACTTAAACTTAAATGTTAAATACAAGGTAAAGGTCCGCACGTCCATGACGAAAACCGCTATGGGTTATGAGCTGTTCTTACGGAGGCCAACACAGGAGGAGTACTCCGGCCTAAGGTGAGGAAAATGTCCTACGGCATTAACTTTCCTGCCACACCCAAGCTCCACACTTGCAAACGACATATTCTTTTCGCCCCATTGCTGGTTGAAAGGACGCAATAACTGACTGAAGTTCGGGAAGCCCGAAACTCAGAGTCCTAAGCGGTTCAGCTCCGCACAAAAGGCTTTGTTTCTCTCAGCGGACAAGAACTTGCAGGAATCGTTAACCCAACCGTTGCGACTCTTTGACCACCTCGCCAATTGACTAGTACGGGAATTGCATGACACTTCTACGACCCTTAAGAAGTATCGAGTATCCTACCTTTGAAAGCCGCTCCAAACACAACATCATGTAACCTGCCTGCGATCCTGCTGGAGAATTCGAACAAGATGTCTATATATTGCTGTGTGGAAGGAGATTTGTGAGGGAAGTCGTGGGTCGTGAGCCCTACGCCGTTTTGCCAAACTTCGGATTTGGTGATGCGCAGAGCGCGCCGCAACAACCATGTCCCTTAGTACGGTCCCCTGCCCTTCGTCAAGTGGCTCCGAAGTATGCCGTGTTAATGGGTGTATATAGGCGGTATCTAAGAAGGGCCCCAAAGTAAGGGCCCATACTTGGAAGCCTAGACTGTCAGTCAGGCTGAGGCTGTCCAAATCACCAAGGAGGACAGGGAGACATGTACTGGTAGCATTGAAGAGCGGACAGTGCTAGCGGCGTGCGCCAAGGCCCTAACCCTCGAAGTTTTCAAGCGCCGAGGCCCTGTGGGCTAAGGGTTTACCCTGAGGGCCATAGCCTTAAACCCCGCAAACACGAGCCCTTAAACCTTTAAGAGACTCGAATCTTTAGGGCACATAGCTCAGCAAGTGCCGAGCCCCCGGGCGCGAGCAAAGGTCTGCTTCCAGATCGGGAATCTTTAGGCCTGTCTCGCTTGTTTAGGGTTTAGGGTTTAGGGTTTAGGGTTTCGGGTTTGGTGTTTGGGGTTCGGGGTTGGGGTTTAGGGTTTAGGGTTTAGGGTTGGGGTTTGGGGTTTGGGGTTTAGGGTTTAGGGCTTAGGGTTTAGGGTTTAGGGTTTAAGGTTTGGGGTTTAGGGTTTAGGGTTTGGGGTTTGGGGTTTGGGGTTTGGGGTTTGGGGTTTGGGGTTTAGGGTTTGGGGTTTGGGGTTTAGGGTTCTTTCGAGCCCGAAGCTCCCATGCTCTGAACAGAAGATGCCTTCACCCGCCAAGCTTTCAACACCTGCGTACATAGACCGGCACTTTGTCCCACTGCGAATCACATCTTCAACCTCACCAACCGCGAGCCCTACAATCACAACATATAACTACTCTCTCACCCACCAAAACAATCATAAATCTACTCAGTCCCGATACAACCTCCTAATAGTCCAGCAAAGCATTTTAAGGCGTGGCTTACAGAATCCTCCAATTGGAAACCACCCTATAACCCTAAACCCTAAACCCTAAACCCTAAACCCTAAACCCTAAACCCTAAACCCTAAACCCTAAACCCTAAACCCTAAACCCTAAACCCTACCAGAACACGGAGGCACCTGGTCTCGGCAGCCGGTCTTGGAAGGCACCGCCCTTGCCTTCGCTGTGGGTGACTCTGAGTTGTTCTTCGTAAACTGTCATCTCCAAAACAGCAGATGTGAGCACAGGAGCCCTAAACCCTAAACCCTAAAACCCTAAACCCTAGACAGTATTTTATAAGAACAGAAAACTCAGCCGTTCTTCTCTTGCAGAATACTATGAAAGAAGAGCGGGCGCACTGCCAGAGCAACAAAGGCCCGTGCCGTAGAGCGATGCGAACCGCTGCGCGTTATGCGCTTCGCGGCGGTAGTCCAGCTCCTCCGGGGGTTAGGGTTTAGGGTTTAGGGTTGAGGGTTGAGGGTTTAGGGTCTAGGGTCTAGGGTCTAGGGTCTCGGGTTTAGGGTTTAGGGTTTAGGGTTTAGGGTTTAGGGTTTAGGGTTTAGGGTTTAGGCCAAGCCCGCGTGCACACAGGCAGAAGCAGCCAAAAGCAGCGGCTCCACTTTGATGGGCCCAGGAGGTTGCGAGCGGTCCAGTGTGCTTTGGTTTCGTGCTTCCCTTCTGGCAAGATCACTGCCCTCCAGTTCGAAAACAAGTAAGGAGCTAGAAAGGCAATTCTAAGAGTGTGCTTCGGTCTAGCTGGAAAGAGCCTCAAAGAGGCGGGAACAGAACTCGTCCACGGCACCGACAACCTTGGGCTTGGTCTTGAAGCTGAACCCTAAGCTTTTTTCTGAAGGGTTGGAAATGTCAAAGTTCAAAAAAGCAAACTACGTGGATCGAATCCACATCTCCCTGTACACATGAGTGCCGCGCTGAACTCTGGCTCTGTTCAACTGTCGGACCAACCGCTAAACAGCATCATCTCAATCGACACGACCCCAAGTCGAAACACAAAGATCCCCAGAGAGCCCAATACCCTTAAACTAAGGAATATACCTAAAGTTATACAGGGATCCTTATTGTGATTTAAGGAATATTCCTTAGTTAAGGGGTATTGGGCTCTTTGGGTCGTCCCTAGGATGCCGAGCGTTCGCGCGGACGAGGCGGTCCCCGCCTGCACAGCAGGGAACCCGTCGGAGGAGGCAGCTCGGGTTCAGGGTCGGCTGGCTTTGGGCTTCGGGTTTCGGGTTTCGGGTTTGGGTTTCGGGTTTGGGGTTTGGGGTTTGGGGTTTGGGGTTTGGGAGTTTAGGATAGTTTAGTGGGCTGGGGCAGTTTGCTGAGTGTCAGAGCGGTGAGAGAGTTTGACGGCGTGTCTCACTCGCCTACCCTCCTCGACCCACTCGGCCCGCTTTGCCCGCATAGTGTCACACCACGACATCGTAAGTGCCACTCATAGGATACAAACATAGGATACAATCAAAGCCCAAAAGCGAGCAAGGGGCATTCCCCACCTGCACCCCCCCCCCCGGCAGTCCCAGTGCTTTTTTTAACTTGGCAGGCTTCTCGATGCACGCATGTCGTCCTTATCGCCCTTGCACAGGGGCCAGGTCATGTCAATCTTCTCTGTATCACCCCAACTTGGCCGGATAAATCCCCAAAGCTTAGGGTTTAGGGCTTAAAGTGTTTAGACATTAGGCTTCGGGTTTAGGGCTGCCGAAGATTGGGAGTGATTTCTCTGCCTTGGACTCTGAAGTCACTGAGGACGGAGGTCTCTACTGTTCATTACTGTTCTAGAGGGCAGGCCCTCACGTGAAACATACAAACACTTCTGGAAGGCTGTACAACATGACTGCATCATGTGAGAAAGGTGAACCTTAAAGACGTCGACCTTGCGTTGGCCTTTCGCCTGAACGGCTCAGTAAGTGTCTCCTTCCCCTACCTGACGCATCGGCGGAACTGCCAGATGCGTAAGCTTACGCAAGCCTACACCGAGGAAGAGGGTGTGAGTAGCACAAAAAACTCAGAGCCAGAATGAAGGGCCACGGGTCTCTTCGTTTGGAATGACGCCGTGTCGGAGGCTGGCCATCCGTCTCTGGAGATTGTCGATGAAGACAGGATCGCTGCCGCTGCAAGTTTTGGCAAACTGCAAGAACTGGCACCAACTCATCCGCGACACCAGCTTCAACAAGTTCCGATGCTGTGCTGGCTTCAGGCTTGCGTCCTCGATTCTGGATTTGGCAAGTGCTTGGTGAAGCTCCTGCTGAATTTCGAAAGACTCGAAAACCAGTCCAGCACAAGCTGCGCGCCTCGACAACTGCATAAGCAGCATCTCCAACAGCTCCCGTGAAGACAGGCCCTGCATAGCTTCCCGCTGACGTCTGTCGGGCTTGACTGACAGATGGTTGCATCCGGTGCGGCGACCCCCGAAGTGGCAGCAAAGATTCTCGAAAACGTCGGTAACGGCAGGCGTGCTCTCGATCTCTGCGTCACTGTGTATTGCACTCCTGGGCATTCAAGCCGCTCTCTCACAAATGCAGCACAGTATTCAACCTGGCCCGCTGTTATGATGTTGCAGTCTGAGATGTTGCAGTCTGTCCCTAAACCCTAAACCCTAAACCCTAAACCCTAAACCCTAAACCCTAAACCCTAAACCCTAAACCCTAAACCCTAAACCCTAACCCTAAACTTCCTAAACCCTAAACCATGAAGCCAAGAGGCCCTGCAACGGAACTGCCGACTCCCGCTGCTTCTTGATTCGATTGTACATGTACCATGCCTGCCATGACTTGCCTTGCAGGGAAGAAGGGTTTCGGGAGTTTAGGGTTTAGGGTTTAGGGTTTAGGGTTTCGGGTTTCGGGTTTAGGGTTTAGGGTTTCGGGAGCTTAGAGTCCAGGAGTCTTGGGTGCACAATGGTACGCAAGGCAAACCACAACATGAAAGCCTGCAATTCTCAAGCAAGCGACAGCACGGACAGGTCCACACTGCCGTAAGAAGGAAGATACAGACCCTCCGAAAGCTGCACCCTGGCTGGACAGGAAACGGCTGCGGATGCTCCCGATGCTACCGCAACTTTGCCAGATGAATCAGAGCCAAACCCTACAGACTAAGCAGCGGCTGCTGCAGGAGTGGAACTTCCCAGGTTCCAACAATTTCCAAGTGTCGCGACTTTGAACCTTCAAAATTCTAAGCCCAAACGAAGCCCGAGTCCAGGCTAAGCAAAAAAAAACCCTCAACCCAGCAACCTGATCCCTAAACTTCCTAAGTTTCCGCCCCTCTACTTGGAGGTTCATGGTACTTATTAATTATAACTGTACTTCTAACTGTACAGCTATAATTGGTTAATAAGTACCTGAACCTCCAAGTAGGACTGCAGCACAGAACAGAAATCACCCGCAGCACTTCGAGGCACCAGGGCTGCGGAGGGCCGACAGCGATCTTGCAGCGAGCCTGGCTTTTCTAGGAAGGTTTAGGGTTTAGGGTTTAGGGTTTAGGGTTTAGGGTTTAGGGTTTAGGGTTTGGGGTTTAGGGTTTAGGGTTTAGGGTTTAGGGTTTAGGGTTTAGGGTTTAGGGTTTAGGGTTTAGGGTTTAGGGTTTAGGGTGGTCGAGGTCCCTGCGGGGCTGAGAACTGATGGTTTGGGATGGTTTAGGGCTGCTTATAGGGAACCCTAAACCCAAACCCTCAACCCCTAAAAACCCTGTCCGTGGCATCAAGTGCCCCCAGGAAGTGAAATCGGTCTGCCAGTCGTCTTGCAAACAAAGACGACTCGCAGGCACAGCAGAGGGCCCAGAGCTGCATGTACTTGAAGGTTCATGGTACTTACTAGCCAACTATAACTGGGTGAAAATCCAAGCGGCGGCGCGCAGGATCAATGGCAGCTTTTTCCCTTTGCACTAAGGGCGCCCTGCAGTGAGCCGGTGCCACGGCGATAAGCCTATACATCAATGCCGTGCTTCTGCAAAGGTGATAGATTTTCACCCGTCCTCGGCACGCTGTAGGGCGGCCTTCCGGGAGTGCCTGCCAGCCTGGACTAAAAGCTTCTTCATTTTGGCTGCCTCTGAGGGCTCAAGCGTCCAGCGGCCATTCATCAGAACGTCCACTAAAGGCTGGCGATCACATCCCGTCTTAGTGAGGACGTCGGCCAGCATCTTCGAGGTATCCGCCCAGCGGGCAAACAACGGGGCATCATCTTCAAAGTGGTTATCACCTAGAAGTTCTTTGATCTGGGCGACGGATCTTCACTCGCTTGTCTGACGGCTGGCCAGCATCCTTGTTCAAAGTCTGTTCCAAGCTGCGGGCATCGGTGAAGGCGATGATCTTCTTCTTGAGGTAAAAGTCATCCAAATCCCGAAGTGGGACCCCAGGATGAACCAGCTCCATCAACAGTGCTCGCATGTACTCGGCAGCTTCAGCTCCAGCCAAGAAGCCATTGGATTCGGCAGCGAGAGTGCTGCGACACACCCGCTTGATGCCTCCAGAGTAGGCCTCAGTGACGAAGAGGTGGGCCTCCTTCCCGGTGTAGATCTTCTCATCCGACAACCCGACGATGTAGCCGCACTGAGACTTGCTGTCGCCGAGGTTCGCAAAGCTGCTATCAGAGAAGCAAAACACCACAGCATCCTTAAGGGCAAAGTCTCCCTTTCGGAAGCACCAGCGAGTGTCCGACGTCCTTCAGGACCTTCACAGCCTTGTTCAAAGCTATCACATCGCTCACTTTTGGAGCCCCCATAGACTGTGCCGCGACACTGACATCCACCAGCAAATCTGGTCGGCTTTGGCGTGCCACCCAGCCCATCTGTCCAATGAGCCCGCGGAAGGAGGTGATCTCAGCCGCGGTAAGGGGACTGTTCACACACTTGCGGCGGTCCTTGGGGAAGATCATGTAGTCGATGCCCTCAACGGCGTCCATCTGGTCCAGAAAGATCTCACCGTTCTCCTGGCGCACATTCTTGCCGCAGAACCGAAAGTTGCCCCGCTTAACGGTTAAGTGAAGCTCGACCTCCATCTCCCTCAGGGTCGCCTCGTAAATCTCGCCCTCGCCGGTGCTGAAGAGGTCGTCGACGTGGGTCACGACGACCCCGAGCAGCTGCGCTCCTTTCGCCAAGATGAAGAGAGCGGGCTCGAGCCTTGACATTCTCCAGGAGTGCTTGCGGAGGGTCGCGTAGAGCTTCTTCCACCAAGAACGACCAGCATCTTTTGTCCCATAAATGGAGCCCTTGGCCCTCAAAAGGTCATTGGGGCCCACCCCTGGCGGAGGTGGACGTGGAGGACGAAGCACCAAGAGCCTGCTGATCCCCTCGGACTGGAGGTAGGCGGTTGAAGCATCGCTTGCAGTCACGGCCCATCCTTGAATCACGGCGACGGCGCAGACCATGTTGAACGCCAGGAGGCTTGCGGTAGGGCTGTCCGTTCGAATTCCTGCGTCATCTTCTTGATGTCCTTGCACCACCAAACGTGACTTGGCAGAGAAAGGGAACTCGGCCTTCACCTGCTCAGCGGATTTGCCGGTCTTGGTTCGCAAGTGGAGGGCCAAGAGACGCTGTTTCTGGTTCTTGTCTGTGTGCACCCAACGAGTGCCGATAACTTTCACGTCAGAGGGAAGTGCAAGAACCTGATCAGGTGTGAGAATCTCCACCGCGTTGAACTTCATCCATGAGGACCATTCTTTCTCCATAGCCTGCGCGAACTTTTGACGGTCTTCAGGTGAAAGGTCCTTCAGCTTAATTTCCGAACGAACTGCCTTCCCGGTGAGGAATACTTCTATGGCTGAAGTCATGCACATGAAGTTCTCGAGCTCCTCTTCCTCGTCTGCAGTGTCCAACTCGTACTCTTCGACCCCGTTCACCATCCGGCGCAGTCGGGCTTCTCTGACCACACGAGTGAGAGGCGCCACCTCCCAATGATCATCCAGGATCGCCTCGGCCATGTAGGGTTGCTCTGGAGTAGGTCGCACGCGCCTCACAGCATTGCACCCATCAAGTCGGTCTGGATCTCGGAAGATATTGGCAGGCGCCGGCGCAGGAGGGCCTGGCTGGACTTCAGCAGCGGCCGGTTGAGCTGCCGGAACATCCGCAGGCCGCAAAGCTGGTGCAAGAGGGAGGGGCTCTGGCTCAGTTGACATAGAGGTCGTTGGCTGCACCGGATTTTCTTCAGGTTGAGGTTCGCCCGTCCTTTGCCCTTCAGTCGCAGGTGCTGAAGGCGCAGAAGTTGCCCCAGAAGACGATGGTCCCTGAGGGATGTTCGCCCGCAGAGTTGCGCCCGTCCTTTGTGTTTCGTCCAACAGTCCGCCGGGCTCGTCTTCAGGTACTGGAGGAAGGTGCTCAAGAGCCACTGGAAGAGAGGTTCCAGGTATCATTGAAGTCCGCGACGGTTGTGCTGGGCGCGGTGTGATAGCAGTCGACGCCGCATCAGGTCGTTGCGCAGGCTGAGCGCGTAGGTCCACATAACCGCGCGCACCTCGAGCATATGGTGGGGCCAGGACTTCTTGAGGAACTGCATGAGCAGCCAGCAGCTCATCTTCGCTTGCGAACCGAAGCTGCTCGCCAGTGACTAGGACCACCGAGTGCCCATAACGAAGCCAATAGGAGTGAGGCTGGCCTCCATCGGTAGGCTGATCTGGGTCTTGTAGGCGCCTCTGATTCCGAACTTCCACTCCAATCACTCGGGCAGGACCATGCCAGCGGTACGTTCTTGAAGACCCTGGGTGTGTTTGGGCACGATAGAAGTAGACGTAGGAGCCCACGGGATACGGACCCCTGGTTGGCGTACTTTGGTGAAGAAGAGCGCGCCTGATCCGGCCATCGGTGTCGAGCCGAATTTGCGCGACTCGGGCTGCTTCACGGATGCCAAGATTCTTTGCCATTGCAGAGTCAGGGTTCTCTGCGGCTTCGAGGACCTCGAGACGCTCCGCCTCATCATCAATGAGAAGGCTGCCGGGTAGCCTCACCTCGGGCTTCCCTAGGACCCACTGGTTAGGTGAGTAGCCAGAACTTCGCGGGAAGCTGTTTCTGACTTGGGTCACGATGGATGTAGCAACGATCATGTCCTGGATTCCGGCCAACTGCATGTCGGAGACTGTTTTCGTGAACACTTCCTTCCAGAGTCCTCCCAAACGCTCGACTCTGCCCGACTTCCAGGGGGCCTCCAAGGGCATCGCTTCTTGCTCCACGCCAAAGGTCTTCAGGTAGTCCGCGAAATGGGCCATGAACTCCTTGCCACGGTCGACTTGAATGCTGCCAGGCAGGCCGGCCCAGCTTGACCAAGAAGTCAAGAAATGACGGAGGATGGCCTTGCTCGCCGGAGGGCCACGCGCGAAGCCAAGACAGGAGACCACCTGAAAGCCAGTCGCGTCACACACCACGTTCAGGAAGGCGAAAAGCTGGGCCTCCACATCCTTGCAGTACAACGGGCTTCGGACGGCGTCGGCGATGAGACTCACCGCAAGCATCACAAGAAAGTAGGTCCACCCCCCGGATGGCTTCAGGTCGGGCTCCCTGTCGGCGCAAAATGCGCTGGAGCGTGTTGTTGGTAGGATGCCCAAACTGAACACGCAGGCATTTACGAAGGTCTGGGTCCAACTCCAGCCATCGTCGGCGCCGCTCTTGTTCAGAGAGACTGAGAGTGGGCGCCAGCTGATCGGCCATGATCGCCCTGTGACTCGCATCGTCACCGTCAGCAGCATGGTAGCGCAGGTTGCTGCCGGCACTAGGTTCATCGAGAAGCTCTGCCAACGTGCGCTCGGTGACGTCGTCAGGTAGCTGGGGCTCCACATTGGGCCGGAGGTAGACTGGAGGGGCATGGCACTCATCGGTTAAGACAGACACGCGCCCCTGTCGCCTGCGCTTCAACGGACGTAGTGGCCGTCGTTGTCCATGCCCATCGGCCGGAAAAGCTTCTTGGATCTGTTCTTGAGCTTGATGAGCAGCACACAGTTCAACCGTAGACTGCTGTATCAGGGTCTCCAGGACTCTTTGGTTCAACTCCGGAGGCCAGGAGGCGGCGCGCCCAGTTCTAGGGCCGCCTCTGTTGGAGCCACTGAGCTCCTCGCGTTGGCATCCGGGACACTGGGCATCGGCAAAAAGGGACTCGGCCACCAGCAAAGTTGTCACAAAGGTCACCGGCTTGCAATGAGGTAGACCGGTTTCTTTGTCTGTGTAGCCAAGCTGACAGCCGCGCACGTGGATAACTTGCAGCTCTCCATTGGCGATGAGATTGTTGACTCCGACCAACTCGGGTTCCGACAACCACTGCTGATACCCGGGCTGTTCCATGAAGACATGTCGTTTGTGCCTGACGCGTTCAACCACAATGTCATTCACCAACTTGAGGACACGGCGGCCGTCATCACGCAGTGACTCAACGGTGGCAGCTGCAGGTTCTCGAGCGAAGTTGAAGTGACCCCATGGCCCCCACGGCCCACAAGGCGGTGTCAAGATGGTCAAGTAGGGAT